CACAACAAGTAAGATATATATATATATATATATATAGTTCTAGGGTAAAGAGGAGTAGGCCTCACTCACAATAGGACAGAATCATGCACATGGAAGAACGTTCGATTCTTCTTTTGCCTGGACCAATCCGGTCTGGCGTGTGGCACTTGCAACACATGCAGAGGAGCCCCGCGTCACTTATATTTTCATTCAAGAATTAGTCATTCCAAGTCCATAGTCACCCAGGGCTATACGAAGACCTGTTCATAATCTTTACTATTAAGAAATTCCTTGGTATCATGATTTATTGGATGAGTCTCTTTATATCTCAGTGCTTATCATAGTTAAAATTGAAGAGAAGAATACTCTATTTAAGAGAATAATCTCTTAATTCTTTCCATGGTGACTTGCCCACTGAAAAAAGGATGGGGTTGCTGTACGAGATTCCTTATTTCCTACAATTTTGAATTTATATCCCTTTTCCTTAAGCATCCACCTTGCTTTTTTAATTTTAAATTGTCGATTTGCAATTTTGTCCCTCCTATTTCAATTATTGCAAGTCCATGCACCTATAATTTTGCAAATCTATTGAGAACCACCTAGAACTTGGTTGCCCTTTTTAAGTTTGGTCATGCAAATCAAATTCTAAGAGGTTGAGAGCTCCTCTCCTCCTATGTTCTGCAATTGTTCTTTCTTTTTTTTTTCATGCTTTTGATTTTAATAAAAAATAGGCTCTTGACCTCTTGTTAGGATCCTGCAATATAATGAACCTCATTTGAAGGAGGAGCAATTGATTGATTGATTGGCTCTATATGCCTTTCCCTCCCTTTACAAGTACCAACTTTTATTGTTTTCTATAGAAGATAGCATTCCTATTCTGTAGATATTGATTGACCATTCTCACACGACATACATAGATTAGTAGTTCAACTTCACATGCTATTTCATCAAATGAAATATTTAGAGAAAGTTGGCCTGAATGGCACATTGTTTGGTGACATGACAAATATTACTTTTTTGAAATCAATTTAGAGAAATTTTTTTGGATGTCCAGTAGTGGTTGCTAACCCAAGTTTCTTTGGTAAGAGCTTGAAAAATATAGTTCTTTTCACCCTTTTGAAGTAGATTTTATGTTGATTTTGAGGTGGAAAAGTTCCTCCTTAATTTGCTCATTAGAATGTGAATGCAATATCTGGCCCAAGGCAGGATTTACTTGTCACATTTGCTCTTTCAACTACTTATAATTTAGTAGAGTGGGATTCGTTATTCTCTTTTCATTTTTTCCCTTGGATATAAATTCCAACAATCATTTAAAGCATGCTTTTGCCTATTGCAATAACAATGCAAGGATCTGGTGCCTCGCTTCTTTGTAGTTGGATCTTTAGTCCCTTTTTTAATTAAAATAACAAATTGAGTTTTTTCCCATGGAAAGAAATAATTTTATTTTCTCAACTAGAATAAATTTGGTACTAGTGTAGCCATCAACAACTTGAAGATGCCTATGGAACCTTATATGAAATCACATGGCAGTTCATGAATACAAATTTCTCATGCAATAAAATTTTAAGGCCTTTTAAATTAAATCATGCATTTTTTTTATTTTTCTCATTATCTTGCTTTAAATTTTGCTATTTGATTCACTATTCATTGAACCTTTTTAATGCAATATTATACCAAGATAATGATACAAGTACAATAAGTACAATTATCAAGATTCACCATTATAAAAAGAAATTTAGAGAAGGATAAATATAAATAGCATGAAGACAAGGTATGAAAATACTAAGTAGTATAAGAAAACAACAAAGAGAAAAAAAGAAAAACTCATTTGGACTGTCTTGCAAGAAGCTTAGTGAGATATATATATATATATATAT